TTTATAATAAATATATTACAGCATGTTTCGAACACAGTATTAAATTTGTAATAATATTATTACCTTACTTGAAAGAAATTGCGGTTATCAAATACTGAGGAAACAAATAAGCTGAAACGAGTGAGTTTTGATTGTTGATAGGGCCATAAGCCGACAATGAACAAAAGAATTCTATTAAGATTGAAATCCTCGGTCTCAATACAGATCATTTCTTTGCGACTTTCAAAACATTACTGTGAAAATATCGACGTGCATGCATTTCTCTTTTATTATTGATTGATTAAATATTTTATATCTTCTTTCCTTTGACATAAATTTCAATATCAATTCTTTAATTTACTATAACATAGTTGCAGATCCATTATGAGATCGAAATATGTTCAATTCAACAAATTTCTTAAGTAAGCTACCAATATTTACGATCGATTTGCCACTGAAAATAATTCGACAGCTGCGTCTTTCTCATGAAATTGAGTTATCTACAGAAATATCGCGCAGGCGCATTTTTTTTCTTTTTTAGCGCCAATACTTCATTCTAATACGTGCAGTTGTACGATACACTTGGTCTTCCAGAGGAATATCTTCTAACTGTAATCTTTCAATGCCAAGTCTATTTGATAAAATATTTATAATTAAACATAATTTGATCAAATAAATATGTAATATATAAATTTCAAATTAGCGATATACACAATTAATATTTTTATCAGTATTAAAAAAATTGTGTCAACTCTCTCGTTAAAATGTTTTCGTCAATGTTATTTATATATTAGTCTTATCTTTTTATGCTTGTAGTTTTACAGATTATTGATTATATCATTAAAAACGATAAATTTCAATATATTTATAATATATTTATTCAATAAATTTGGGTTTGTTATATCAAATTATTTCAGAATAATGATCATTGCGATAACGAACCAGTAGAGAATATTGTATTTAAAAGCTCGTAAATAATTAAATCTATACAGATCTTTTTATTTGAACTTTAACTTTATATTTCAATTCAATTTCAATTATAGAATGACAATTATAAACATGATCAATATCTTAATTCAAATAATTTTAATTTATTATGTCTTTCTGAACAATATAATCTCTAACTGAACATATATTAAAAACCTATTTGAAAAAAATCTTTCTATATTCTAAACATGCAATAAATCGATGTTTTTCTATTGCTATATCTTTACTATACTAAAATTCATTTGATCAATGCGTAGAATATATGACTGTAAAATAAGATACTGAAGCCTTCACTAGCTGTAATTAAAATACTATTATTATTTATTATACACATTTATATAAATATAATATTTGTAAAATATTCTAAAATATTATTTTACCATAGCAAAACATTCCATAGATGCATCAAATATTCCACCGAATGTAAAAATAAATTCCTTGGTATCTCTTTGCAACAAAAATAGTATCATTCTCTGTATTTGCATAGGAGCTCTATACCACGGAATGTTGTATCTACAAAACATTATGTGTCTGAATAATTAATCATAATTTATAAAATAAAAACTTTATTACTTTATTATTTTCAGCATAAATGCTGACTTATTCTATAGCAATTTAATTTCTAATGTAATAAAACTCTTAAAATGAATATTTCTTACGCAGCAATATATATGAGACTATTGTGATCTGTTACATTTTGTCCCACATAATTGGCTAAAAACATGTATAAAAGGATAGCCATTGAATAAAAAAATGGATAACACAATTCCTTAATATTATTTTCCGATACAATCTGGAAAAGCTAAGAAAAATATTTTGTAAAAATTATTAACCTCTTGCATATATACATTTTAAATTTCAAGTTACGGATTATACATAGTAAATTTTCCCTTTCTTGGAAGAAAGATTAAACATAATGTATATAAAAACAGAGCATTGTTACGAAGCATTTACAAGATACGTGTCAATAAAAATACATGCTATTTTAATATAGAGAACATGCTCCAAAATTACGTGAATTTATAATATTGTTCATTAAGTTCAATAAAAATAGACAAATCAGCATAAATATCTATATATTTGCGACATTATCGATATTTACAGTTATTTAAAGTGCGGTTTTTGTCATTTACAAATATTTAAAACGTAGTATTATTAGTATTATTGAAAATAAACTTATAACGCAGACATTTTGCTTTTGCCGATTCTTACAATATTCTGAGCAATATTATAAATATATGCAATTTCAGAACAGTTCTGATATATTATTATGTAAATACTATTCGAAAAAAGAAAATTTACTTGAAATAAATTTAAGCTCAAGCAAGTTACGCCATCCACTATTAAACAGAAAAACATTATCTCAAATACGGACAGCAACTGTTTGGATAGCCTTAAAAAAAAAATATTACAATATTATAAAAAAAAATATTACAATATTATAATATACATAGCACAGACATATTATCAGAGTAGATACATACTTCATAGCTTCCCGATGAATAATTACGGCGCAAATTATGCCTTTAATTATCAAAATCTTATTCTTTAAATTAATATTTTGTAAAAAGTCAATCTTCATTGCATGCTTGATACGATAGCTGTAAATATTTATGCAGCAATAAATATACAATAATTTATTGATCTGTTAACTAAAAACACATTACACAAACTTTTTTTAATAATACGTTGTTTGAGAATGACAAATTATAACTGCAAATTAAATTCTTATAATTATTGCTACATTTATATTCATACCTAGCAATTTTAAACATTCCACAAGTATGCTGAAGATACGTAATAAATATTGAACCTATTGCTAACAATGCAACTATTCCGATATATAGTGTTATGTTAATATGTAACAAAATTAAATAAAAATATTTTTCTTGATCAATAAAATATTCCATTAAAATTGGTAAATGATATGATCGAGATATGTTTACAGATAAACCAGTGTCAGCTATATCCAAAAATTGAAATATAATACTAACACATATTGTCAAAATTGCACATACTAAAATCATTAAAAAGAAATTGTTATTTAAGTTTGGAGTATAATATGTAATGGACATAATATTGTAAAATTATGTAACATATACTATATACATGTCTCATACATATGGTAGATGTTACCATAAAATCCAATAAGAATCATATTTTACTGACAAGTAAAAGTTGATAGCAATTTCTTAACTTCATTTTATTCATAGATACGTTTGTACATTTGATTTTGTACATATTTGAATAAATAGATATATGTAATAAATCATTTATGTGCGTATATATGAAAATATTATAATTTGCAAAAGACGATTCTTTTATATAATAGTTTTAATATTAAATTTAAAATATAATTTCATGTAAAAAAGAATATATGTTAACTTACTTGTAAGTGTAACTGTATAACGATTGGCAATGCAATTATATTTTGTTACTATAGCAATTTCATTTTCATCTTGTATCTCATTATGTATGTACTGAAGCTGCTTCAATAAATCCTTGACCTATTATTCCATCAATATAATCTATACTGTCTTTGTATAGATTATATTATATTATATTATATTATATATTATATTATATTATATTATATTCTATATTATATTAAAAAATATTTTTAACAAAAATTTATTTAACAAGAAAATTGATCTTGATATACGAACGTCCTGAGAACTTACTGCATCAATATTAAGATGAAAAGCAATAAATTTTATCATGAACATTGTAAAGAATGATACGGAAGACAGGACTTTAACGAGGAGATCAGAAGTAAATTTCGAGCTTATTAATGGTGTCAACTACAAGTAATTAATTCATTTAATTTTATATAGTATAATATATGTATATATTATCATATATTTTATCTTCATGTTAAAATAATTAATTTTAAATTATAATTTTAAATTATAATTTAAATTATATATGTCTACATATAATATAAATAAGATAATAATATAAATATAATAAATGTGATATTTTCTATATGTATATCAGATTACACAATTCAATTTGAAATTAATTATTTTAATATGAAGATTTATTATTTTATTATAATAATTATTTTAATATAAAAAATATATGTTAACATGTTTTACCTGAAACACAATACAAGCTGACAGAGTAGAAAAAATAAAAATACATTGAAATTGAGTGAATTTGGATTGTTGATAGGGCCATAAACCAACAGCAAGCAATAGAATTCTGTTTAGATTATAATGAACTTGTAGACAGATCATTTCTCAACAAACTATATTACTATAAAGGCATCGACGAAAATTCTTTTTTCCTTCATTCTTTCTTAGCTTAAAGATTCCATATCTTTTTTCTTTTAGCATAAATTTTGATGCAAATTTTCTAATTTAATGTAAATGCTTTATTTGCACGTTTGTATAAAAGTTTGCTCGAATAGATGCGTTCAATTTAATAAATTTCTCAGAATTACAAATATTTACACGACCATTTGATTGCTAAAAGTAATTTGACAGATGTATTTTTCTCATGCAATTGAATTATTTATAGAAAAGTCGCGCAAGCGCATTTTTTATTTTATAGTACTAATACTTCATTCTACTAAATGCACTCACGAGATGCTTAATTTTTGAAAACGATATTCTTTAGTTTAATTTTTAATATCAATTTTACTTGCTAAGTTTCATAATTTACAAATGATTGTAATCAACGCGAGATTTCTCTTTAAGAATCAAGGAAGTATTTATTTTTAGCAAGTGTTAAATTGGATAACTGACCTGTCATTATCTTTAATTTTTAATATTTATTATCAGGTATATTATATACTTTTTATTATTCAATTTATTTATTTATTTACATTATTTTTTATTATCCAATTATGTTACCGAATAGTACTTGTAAAATGCTACCGAATAGTACTTGTAAAATGTGCTATTTAATTCTAATTTAAATTTCTTTAAACATTTGTGTGTGTGTGTGTGTGTGTGTGTGTGTGTGTGCGCGCGCGCGCGCGCGCGCGCGCGTGTGTGGTGTGTGTGGTGTGTGTGTGTGTCTGTGTATGTGTGTATACTAATGAATAATAAATTATTTAAGTATAACATCAAACATTTAAATAGAAACATTTGATAGGAAATAATGAGAAAAAACGAGAAAAGTTATATTTGAAAGGTAATTAAAATGGATAAATATTTGTTATTGTGTATATTTTAGATACTTTATATATTTTAAGTAAATCAGTATCTAATCTCCGATATAAAATACTCAACTTTAATACATTTCAAAAATATGATGTAATACTATTTCGATTTAAATAAAATTTATTATTAACGTTTTTTAACAGCATAATATTAAACTTTCAACTATATAACTATTTATTTACTATACTATGAGTACGTTCAGAAACACCATTCGAATGACTCCGTGTATCATCTTATCTTTGTTTAATATTCGATGAACAACAAGAATAAAACGATACACGAAGTCACTCGGATGGTGTTTCCAAACGTAACCTATATAACTATTTATTTTGCAGGTAGAAATATATCCATTCTTTCGTAATTATATTCTTATCATATTCTATTTATATTTCTTCCATTATCGCGTAGAATAAATGACGGTGAAATAAGATACCGAGGTCTTTACTAACTGCAATTAAAAATATCTCTTCTCATGATATATATTTACAATAATATTTTATATTACATTACCGTAGCAAAGCATTCTATGGACGCATGAAATAGTCCACCGACATCCAAAGTATGTTCTTTGGCTCTTCTTTGTAAGAGAAATAGTATCATTTTTTGTATATTTAATGGGGCTTTGTACCACTGAGCATTATACCTATGAAATTATATACATATATGAAAATAGATAATCAAATACTAATTCGAGATCGAAACTTTTTTATCAGTTCATTTCAATATTTATACATATATACTAATTCTACACTATAATAATTCATTGCTGTTTATTCTACAATAGAATAAATAGAATAAATAGAATTAATTTCTATGTTCAAAGTAATAAGTCTAAAAGCCAAATATTGATATATTCTATCTTAGAAAATTGTTTCTTACGCAGTAACATATACGTCATCATTGTGATTTATTATATCTTGTCCCATATAGTTGGCTAGAAACATATACAATATAGAAACAGATGAATATAATAACGGTGGAAATAATTCTCCGATGTTATTTACGGATGATGCAATCTGAAAAAGCTGAAAAGAAAATTTTATATGAATTATCAATCTTGCATACAGTCTAAATTTTAAGTTACGGATGATACAGTAAAATTTTCTTTTATTTTTATAAAATTATAAAATTATAATTTTATAAAATTAGAATCAGAAATACTTTATACAATAACAGAGAATTATAATTATAAGCCAGTAACTAAACATAACTATCAATTAGAATATATTCTGTCTTCACAGAAAAATACGATAATTGTTTTAAGATTACATGAATTTATAATACTGTTCATTACATTTGACGAAAAATTGCAAATGTTAATGTTATATTTCTACATCACTATTAATATTTTCAGTTATTTAAAGTTTTGCATTAATCATCCACATGTCACTTTTAATATTTTCTTATTGTTTGTAACTTATAACGCAGGTATTGTCGATTCATGAACAAATATTATTAACATACGCCATTTTTTAAACAATTTTTTATATTATTATATTATTTTTTTATTTTATTATTATATTATTTATATTATTTTATATTATTATTATATTATTATATAATATAGAAAATTTACTTGAAACAACTTGAAACAAATTCAAGCTCAAGCAAGTTACGCCAACCACTATTAGACAAAAAAACATTATCTCAAATATGGACAGCAAATGTTTGGATAAGCTTTAAAAAAAGAAAATATTAGAATAGGTTACACACACACGCGCGCGCGCGCACACACACACACACACACACCATGTATGTATGTATATGTATATTTTATATAATTATATGTATACTTTATGTAACTTTATGTATACTTTATGTAACTTTATGTATACTTTATGTAACATGTATATTATCAATGTAAATACAAACTTTATAGCTTGTCGATGAATATTTATAGCACAAATTATATCTCTGGTTATCAAAATTTTACTTTTTTGGTTAACATTTTGTAGAATATCGATTTTTATTGCTTGCTTGATACGGTAGCTGTAAAAATTCGTGCAATGAATATAAACAGTAGTTTATTAAATCTGTTAGCTAAAAACATATATTTTAACACAAACTTTTTTAAATATAGTATATTATTTAAGGATGACAAATTATAATTATTAAAATTACATTATTTAAATTCTTATAATTATTGCTATATTAATATCCATACCTAGCAATTCTAAACATTCCACAAGTATGCTGAAGATATGTAATAAGCAATGTACCTATTGCTAACATTGCAACTGTTCCGATGCATAGTGCCATACAAACGTGCAACAGAATCAAATATAAATATTTTTCTTGATCAATAAAATATTCTGTCATTATTAATAAACGAGATGATACAGATACGTTTGTAGATATATCAACATTAACCATAATCGATAAAAACTGAATTATAATAATAATTATTGTTCCGCAAATTACGACTACTAAAAAGTGTTAGAGAAATATTATTATTTCACTTCCTAGTACAACATTATAACAAACATTATGTATAACTAATTTACATATATCCTCTGCATTTATATTTTAAAGTGTAATATTTCAAATTAAAAATAAATTTTATTAATTAATTAATAATAATTTCTCATTTATTTTATAAATACAATTTTATAAATACATTGTACACAAAATTTATTG